ATGGTCAAAATCAGCCAGAAATCCAAGGTTTTGAATGAAATATCCAAATTAGTAAGCATTTAGTGCCCCATCTGCAGTGGATTGCTAGCTGGTGGTCAGCTTGCTACACCCAGCTGAAGTGCACTAGTGTGGTGCTGGGTGTGGAAGGCCCACCTGAGGATGGCTGCCTGCGGCACGAGAGGCAGAACTGGAGAGGCTGCTGGGAGGCTGCTTGGAGAAGCTGCTGGTTCTCTTGGAAGGTCTCTCTGCTGGAGGACCTTGTCATGCTGGCTTTTCTGATGAACTTGGCTGTTCTTATCCAAGGAGGAGCTCGTGACGTTGTGGTCACAGGATGGCTGTGGTTCATTTTGGGGTACCTCTGGTCCTCACCATGAGCATCGTTTCCTGGCTCCAGAGGGGAGGGTGGTACGCTGCTCCTGGGGAAGCTTGTCAAGTTGGCTTTCCTGATGGGAACTAAAGTTTTCTCATTGCTGGAGGAGTTCAGAACCTCACTGTCACTGAGGATCACGGTGGTGCCTTTTAGGGGAGTTCTGGTGCTTACCTTTAGTGTTGCTTCCTGGCTTCCCCTCAGCCTGCTAGCACAGATCCTTCATCCCGCTGGCACAGGCTTCCTAGCCTCCACTGCTGACCTTTGGGCGTTTAGAGCACAAATCCATGAAATGGGCCTGCATGAGACATTGTCATGGGCTCCAGGCCTCCAACTGGACTCATGGGAAGCATTCTTAGGAGCTCAAGGTTTTCAGCTGGACTCATGCAGGGTATTAGGATCCAGACCTTCAACTGGAGTCTTTGTTCTTTAGTGTGTGAATGGATTTCCTGCACTGTTTATATGTGATTCTTTGGGTGATTATAAAATGATCTTATAGAATGTGTCCTGTGTTGTATTATTCCTCTTGTGAAAAATCCCAAACCATGATGCCATGTATGCCAACGAAGTGTGTTTCAAACAAACAAAAAACAAAACTGTGGATTATGTGTGACTTTGATCCACTTCCTGGTACAGCTGGAATCTTTTCAGAGGGAATGGCACCCTTGACCTCAGTCACCAGGGGATGGCAGAGGGCAGGTGTCCCTTTTGAAAAAGTTGCTTTGCAGCCCTTGTTTTATTGTGTTTTTTTTTTTTGTTTGTTTGTTTTTTTTTTGGTGGAACTGGGGATTGAACTCAGGCCCTTGCGCTTGCCAGGGAAGTGCTTATTCCACTGAGCCATCTCCCCAGCCCCCCAACCCTTGTTTTATTGTTGCGAGTACTGGGGCCCTGGGAAATGTCCTGCAAGGCTGGATGGAGTTGGACACACATCCTGGGGTTCATCCCAGGGGGGTCCTAAGTAGGTACAGCAGGAGGGGCAGGCTGAGCTGGGAGCCACCTTCCCAGACGTGCTGTTAGCCAGTAAGTTCTGAATAGGCAGGTTGTGGGAGAAGGACTCTTGAGTGTTCCATGCAGGCATAAAGCACCAGAGCGGAGGCAACAGCCCACGCCTGGTTTGGGGTCCGTGAGGCAGATGAGCTGGTCGCACGTGGACGACGAAGGCTGGCTGCCTCTCTGGTGTGCAGAGGCAGCAGAAGTATGCTGGTCACACGTCTCTGCTTCTGGCCCCGTGGGAGGTGCAGCCACGGCCAAGAAATGATATGAGGCTGCCAGGTGAGCCTGGGGTGGCTGCAGCCTGTGCTTCTCAAGACACTGAAATTCAGATATTTAGGCAGAAACCATCATTTTTGGTTTTCAGCCATGCACATTCCCATTTAAGAGACCAGAGCCTCAGAAACTAGTGTAGGTGCCTCTTTTCTGTGTTCGTGCAGTTGTGGTGCACTGTGTGATCTCTCGGCCAGAGAAGGGCTCGTCTCATGAGGCCCTGGGAGAGCTCGGAGTCAGGGCCGTGTGAGGTTGAGAGCACAGCTGGAGCAACTGGAGTCAGGAGACCCAGTGTGTTCTCGAGCCCACACCACCTGTGCCCACACCCCTGTGTCCACACCACCTGTGCCCTGTGAGCAGGCACTGTCTTATACCACCCTGAGGACCACAAAGGGAAAGCACCTCCCTGTAGGTCACGTGCTCTGTAAACTGGGGGTCACAGTAAGCACCATGTACTCAAGGCATGTCTTGTATGTGAGGAGGGTAAAGCTACCTTTCCCACTAGCTGACTTCCAGAGCATTCCTGATGCACACTAACTACATAGAAGGAGCCTCAGCAGAATGGGAACTGTGGGTTTGGGATCATTTCTGTGTCATGATCCCTAAATCTTACGAGTGCAAATAATTGGCCACAGCCTACCTTGCATCGTGAGGCCTTGTCAGGTATCCTCTTCCTTGTCCTTTGCTGCCTGCCTCCCATTCGCTTACACATCCATCCATCTGTTATTTTATACAAGCATTTTCCCACTTAATCATCCATCTACCCATCTACCTACTAGTCCCTCTGTCTACCCATGATCTGTCCGTTCATGTACCCATCCATTCATCCTTTCCTTCATGTATAATCCAGGTATTTATCTAGCATCCATCCATATATCTACTCAACCATTCACCTCCTGTCCGTCTGTGCCTCGTCTGTCTGTCCACCACCCTCCTTCCTTCCCCGTCTCCATCCCTTACTACCTTCCATCATTTCCTCCTCTCTCCATCTCTTCCTCCCTCCCCTCCTTCCTCTTGTCTTTCTGTACTGAAGGAAAACCTCTCCTCCCCACCACCTTCTCAGTTTCTCTGCTGAGTGGCCTAACAGAAGAAACTAGAGCACATCATGGGAGAAGCTTTGGTGAAGAGTGGCTTCAAAGTGACAGTTGAAATTTAGGTTGGTGGGGGGGGGGTGCTGGGGAGATAGCTCAGTGGTCTAAGCACCTGCCTGGCAAGCTCAAGGACCTGAGTTCAATTCCTGATACTACATGTTGTGCTGGCCCTGGGACTCTAGGTGTGCTGTACTGACCATTGAAACCCAGCGTGATGGCACATGCCTGTAATCCCAGCACTGGGGAGGCTGAGACAGGATTACTGTGAATCAGAGCTGTGTAGCCAGACCCTGTATCCAATAAATAAAGAAAAAAAAAAAAACCTTAGGCTTAGGTAGCACCTCAGCAAAGGAACAATGAATTTTACAGAACTATAAGACAATGGGAAGGACCCAAGTTAATTGAGCAAATTATGGGGTGATGAATGTATGGGAAAGAGATGGTGGATTAAGGTGGTTAGTATTCTGGTGGGTGGATCCTCTGCAGTGGCCACAAGCTGGGAAGTGTCAAAGTTGACTCTAAAGATGGACTTTTGGACTCTTTTGTAGAGAGGAGAGGGGGACACCCTTGCAAATTTATATCCTACTTTTAGTCAAGTCGGGGAGAGCAAGGCACTTTTATTGTATGTTTCTTTTCCATTACCTACAACTCAAAAATGGTCCATATGCCAAAGGGGCATGTTCCGGGGTAGCATCCCCAACACAGAGGAAAAAAATAATAAAGAATAATATCGAAATCAGGCCTGGGGAGATAGCTCAGTGGTCTAAGGGCCTGCCTGACAAGCGCAAGGACTGTCAGGTTCAGTGCCCGTACCTCATGCTATACTGGTTCTAGAGCCCCGGAAGTGCCATCCTGACCACTGAAACTGGGTGTAGTGGCGCATGCCTGTAATCTCAGTTCTGGGGAGGCTGAGACAGGAGGATCACTATGAGTCCAAGCTGCATAGCGAGACCCTGTATCAAATAAATAAAAGATTAAAAAATTAAAAAGTAATACATAAATCATCTGTCACTAGTTTTATCAGAGTTTGATGTTTTGCCACTTCTGCTTAGGATGCCAGAAGAATATGGCTCCCAGCACCAGGATTCCCTTACCCCAAGAGCAGGGCCCTCTGGCTTTAAAGCTGATCTCTGCCACCAAACACTTCCTTGCTGCCAGGCTCGATGAGCGTATCTGTGAGCAGCCTGTGGGGTTGCATTACATCTAGAAGTGAGGGCAAGTGGTTTACGCTTGATTCTGTAGTCGCATCTCTTCTACTTAGAGTCACCCGTGTGAGGTTCAGGTTCATTTGTTCTCATGGCTATGGGGCCGTGGGCAGGCGAGACCACAGTTCGTCCGACAGCCCCTGAATGACCCGGATGACCATGCCCCGCATGCCCAGGAGAGTTGGATTTTGCCATCTTTCCTTGTGCATGTAGCTTTGAACTTACAGAATTGCTGTAGAGGAGGAATCGCTCCCAGCGTGGTGCCTCCCTCCGGGGCCTCCGCAGCTCTGCAGTAATCCATGTTTATTCCCTTCTTTCTGGACCCCGGTCCCCAGGGATGGTGTCTCAGTTGTGGTCAGTGGAGAATGGATGACCTTGTCTCAGGGTCTGAACGAGCATCGTTCTCAATACTTGCTGGATGTAACCTAGTCCTGCTCATCGCTGGGCAAGTATTGTTGCCCTTGACCATGAGGAAGGGGCCCTCTCGGCTGCCAGCGTCTCTTGCAGACCCGCACATCTGTGGCTTTCGCTTGTTTGTGATCTGGGATTCTGCTCCACTGCTGGTCCTGGAGATTGCCTCCTTTCTGAGTCCTGTCTTTCTGTTCTATTTTTACTGACCCATCTCTATTTGAAGCAGGGGGTTATTATAGTGAGCTCTCACTGCCACTCTGACCCGATACCTGCATTTCTTCCTCTCCTGCAGTTCTGTCCTTAAAGAAAAACCAAAGGTAGCTGTTTCTCTTATGTGGGAAGTTTCAACCTGCTGGGGCCCTTTGGTGAATCCTCATCAGCTAGAGTTCCTGTAATGCTGGGGTTCACACATTGGGCCAGCACTCTCAGGGCCTCCCTGGTCCTGGCTGCTGCCCCTCTATGCAGGCTTGGGGAAGAAGAGGGAAATGATGGATTCTTGCCACTTTGGCAACCAGTACATGAATTCACAAGGGCAGTCCTGGGCTCCTGATCGGGCTGCCATGCAGGAGCAGAGCACAAGTTCCGCAAGGGCTTCCCCGAGTCCCTGGCTTCTCTTTAATTTTCACATTTCCCATTGTTGGTTCTCTTTCTTCCTCCCCACAGAGACCTGGCCACCATGCCCCGTAGCCCAACGTCCAGTGAGGACGAGATGGCCCAGAGCTTCTCTGACTACTCCATGGGCTCTGAGTCTGACAGTTCCAAGGAAGAGACCATCTATGACACCATCCGGGCCACAGCGGAGAAACCAGGTGGTGTGAGGATGGAGGAGAGCCAGGGCGACACGCTGGTGATCCGTGTGGTCATCCAGGACCTGCAGCAGACGGTGAGCTCCCACTGGAGGGTGGTGCTTTGCTTCGCCTTTTGCCCCTTTGTCCATGTCTGGGGGGTGGTGTGACCATAGCTTGAATACCAGAGGAAATATACTGCCAGTTCATCCTGGACTCACAGGGCTAAAGACTCTGGTCTGGTGATCTTTGTTTGCTGTAGAGTCCTGGTCCAGCATCAGCTCCTCTGGATCCCTCCCTCCTCACTTTACACAGCCCTGTTTTCCTGTTTCAGTCTCCAGTAGTCACTGAGCACTTATTTTAGTCCATTGTGTGCTACCGTGATGAGGACTGCTTTGCAAAGAAAGGAGGTTTGTTTGGGCTCATAGTTCTGGAGGCCCAAGGTCAAGGATCTCATCTGGTGATGCCTCCTTGCTGGCAGAGTAGGTGGTCCAGGGCATCATATGGCAAAACCAGAGAATATAACTGTGTCTGTCTGGTCTTTCCCTCTTTAGATAAAAGCCAGGAGGGTCCAACTCTGGGGCTCCATCCTGGTGACCTTACCTAACCCTGATCACCTCCCAAAGGTGCCATCTTCAATCCTATTAATCAATTAAGTTTCCACTCCCTTAACCCCTCAACATGGAGGTTAGCTTTCACCCCAGGAAGCCTGGGGAGCACTTACCACATCTAAGTCATAGCAAGCACTGCAGTGTCCCAAGGCTGAGGCCAGCCTGGAGCAGTTCAGTCCACAGGAGAAGCCAAGCGGCAGGTTGGCTAATGCTCGGCCTGCAGAGTCTATGTGTGACTGTGTCCAGTGGTACTGCCTCTGTCCCTGCTAGTTCTCCATACGTGTGTACCCTGGCATCCTTAGCTGTCCCACTTCTTAGGCTGTGGGGCATTGGGGTAAAGCCTCCCTTCCTGGTGTTGCCCCTGTTAGTGGCCAGTCATGGCCCAGCTTCAGGGCCAGTGTGTTTCCTGTGCCACTGATTGATTGTCCACACTGGCAGTCCCTGGCATCTATTGCCATGGTATACTTCCTGGTCTGTTCCTGGGCCCTTGTGGGCAGATTTCCCTTCCTTGGGGGCAGCCCCTCGTGCCCCAGGGTTGGGCAGAGGTGGGTTGGCATGGTGGATGGTATGGCTGTGCAGTGAGACAGGTTCCCCAGGAGCATCCTGTATGCCAGGTGTTCCCTTCATTGTTCATTCTCTCTTCCTCCCTCTGCAATCAGGCAGGGAATTTGGAACTGTTTGGAGCAGAGATAAGTGCTCCCAAAGCTGCCCCTTCCCATCCCTGGGAAAGGACTCTGCACAGGAGGTGCTCAGTGCACGCTCGTTGGCTTTGCTGGTCTGCGATGCTGATCTTGCTCAAGGGCACTGACCCGAGGTTGCGTGCATCCAGTTACTTTCTAATACTCATTCAGCAATGGTGAGCGTCTTGTATGAGCCAGAAGCTGTCTTAGGCATTGGGCCGGCAAGCCACACAGGGTGACAGGACAGTTCACTGGGGTGCTAGAGGTGGTGAAGAGAGTATTTTGGGGTGCTGCGAACCAGAAGCTGATGGGAATGTAGTGGGGGTGGTGGGGTAGTGGTCTCCGAGGGTGGCCAAGGTACCCAATCTCCAAAGCAGGATGTAAAGTCCCCCCCGCCCAAGCGTGAATGGCAGCCAGGGACAGTAGGCGATGGGAGGCCAGAGGTGGGATCTGAGGTCTGGGGTGGAGTTCTGGAGTCCCCATTGGTCCTTCTCCAAACCTGTCAGGGAGATGAAGGAAGAAGAGAGAACTCAAGGAGCCTGTCAATTCCTGGCCTTCCCTGGAGTGGCACCTGGCTACAGAGGGGGGCTAGATGTGTGGGCCAGCCCTAAGCCTTAACAAATGGTCATGAAGATTTGGTGAGGCAGTAGTGAGCTCACACACACACACACACACACACAACACACACACACACACACACACACACGTGCACATCCTGCCCTTGGCATCTCCTTATTCATGTGGGCACAGGACTGTTCACACAGTCACTAGACCCCACTTGATGTCTGTTCCTGGGTTCACCCAATCTCTGTTCCAGGAGTAAATGCCAGCTTTCACAGGAGTAGCCTGATCTATTTCCAGCTCCATGTTTTGGTTTGCCTTTGAAATAGGTGGGGTTAATTGCTGAGTGTTTTTAGGAAGAGTTCCTAATGACAGCGCCGCTCCAGTGAAAGCCTAGCTGGTCCGTGTTACGCACAGTGAAGTACTTTGTGTTCCACGAAGACACTGCCTTCAATGTAGCCTCTAGCCTTGAACTGGAGGCCATCAGTGCTGTGCTCTGGCCTGCATGAGGCTTCTCCAGCAGGCGCATCCCAGCCACGCCCTGCGGCAGGATGTCACTCTTCAGCACTGTACTAGACGACTGTTTGAAGCAGCTAAGTCCACACCAAAAAGCCCAAAGAGTGTAAGCGATGTGGCACTGCGCAGACCCCAAGAAGGACATTTGTTTGGGGGACCTCTGCATGTTGGGTGCTGGGTGTCCCATGCCTGTGAGTGATCACCACAGCACAGAGAGCCGCGATGGGGACATCGCCAGTGACTTTCCTAGAGTAGGAGTATCCCCACGCACAGAACTCCCAGACAACAAGGATCGACCGTGTTTTGAAAATGCTTACTTGTTGCCTGTGCCTCAGATGCTCTTTTGCTCTGTATCATATCAAGCCTCCTCTGCATTTGTGGAGGTGTTGTCTGAGGCCCCGAGTGACCTTATCTAAACTTAATCACCTCCCTGAGTTTTGCTTTAGAGATCTCTGATTTACCTTTTCCATTTCGTGCGTGCATGCCTGACTCCTTGCCTGCCTCTGTTTCCTTTCTTCTCTCCCTCTGTCCCTCCCTTCCTCTGTCTCTGGCCTAAATCCCTAACAAATTGACTTCAATTGCCAGACAGACAAATACTAGCCATTTTTGGTTTTTCCTGGAGAACCTTGTGGCAGCAGATGCTGTTTTTCCCTCCATTAAGGGTGTCTCCTTGCATCCCATGACTTCTCTGTGGTATGGGTCAGGCTCTTCTCTGGATTCAGGGTAGTAGTTTATCCTATGCTGGATTTTTCTTCCCTGTATGTGCATTTCACACTGCTCCCTGTGCTGGACATTTTCTCGTGTGCTTGTACGATATCCCAGCGTCTTTACATACCATATGCTCAGGGGGATCAGCTCAGTTCCATCCAATTTCTAATCTATTGTAGTCATGTTATCCTGACTTTTCATTTATTCTCATAGGTGTATGCTCTCTCCTTTTGAGAATTATTCTTTCAAGTTGTTTGTTTGTTTTATGTCCTGTTATCTCACTCCCTAGCATAAAGCTGTCGTGGAGACTTTTCTTCCTTTAATTGGAGTGTATTTTCACCCAGATCAGAGGCTTGCCTGATTCTTTGCATGCTCTCTCTTCTCCATTTATTGTTTTTCCCGTGCTGTGCTTTCATTATTGTCCATGCCCCTCGCCCCATCCTGTTCAGTTGAGCAGAAGCTGTGTGGTCCTTTTCTAAGAACACACAAGCGAGTCTTCCTGCCCTTCCCAGTAGAGGTGGTCAGGTCTGTCCATCTATCTACCTAGGTTTTCAGATGAAAGGCTACAGGGGCCGTGTGTAGTCAGCTGTGATGCCTGTAGTTGATAGAGGGACATGCTTTAAGTGGATTCAGTGGTCAGCTGGTTCCGTGGAAGGAACACTATGGCTGAAGGACATGGCGGAGCAAAGCTGCTTAGTTCCTGGTGGCCGGGAAGTAGAACAAGGGAACAGTGTCAGAGGGAAGGAGCCAGGGACCAGATATAATCATCAAGATCGCACCTCCCGGGGCTGAAGAGATGGCTCAGTGGTCTAAAGCACCTACTTGGAACAAACTTGGCAAAGCACAGGGACCGCGGTTCAATCCTCCAGCACCACATGCCGCCCAGCCGCGCCCCCTGGTGGGCTGAGCTGGCCACACACACACACACACACACACACACAATAAATAAATGTAAAAAAAAAAAAAAAAGATCGCACCTCCCTGAGCCACCCAGACACCCAAAGGTGTGTTTTCCTAATGCCCTGGGGATTTCTTAATCTAACTGAGTTGGCATATCAGGCTTAATGGCACAGTGTGTGTGTGCACGTGTGTGTGTGGGGGGTCTTTCTGGAAGGTGGGGGCCCCTTTTTCTTCTGAAATTATCTTAACTTCTCAAGCAATGATTCCCCAGCCCTTGCGGCATTTCTACTTGGTGAGCATCTCTGGCAGGAGGGTCTCTCCAGACAGCTGGCCAACTCACCCCCAACCCATCTTCCCCAGTCCCTGTCCAGCCAAGCAAGAACTGACAAAGCCCCAGGAGAATGAGGAAGCAGTTCCCCTCCAGGATTTAGATTCCATGTGGTTGTCTGAAGGAGGCATTTCTGGTATGGAGCGATGCCTGTTTCTTGCTCTTGATACTTTTTGTGGGGCTTCTATGTTTTGGGTCTCATGGGATGGCCTTCTTGGCCCCTGGATGCTACATTTCTCAGTGACTACCTCTCCAGGGTGGAGACTCCTGCATCCCAGCATTGTAAACCATCCTCAGGTTGCAGGGCCAGCTGCCTCTGATCTCTTGTCCCTGCTATTGCTTATTGATAAGGGAGTAGGACAGGGAGCTTGGGAAGTCTTCTCTTGGATTTCAGACTTGAGACTTGAAGGTCCAGAAATGATAGGGAAGGATGTGGCTGCTGATGTTAGGCATACACCAGAGTAAGTGGTCCTTTGCCTGCTGCCTGGGGGGCAGGGATGCTATGCCAACTGACACACAACACTTACCTTGTACTGTGCGAATCCTAACACATCAAGACCCTGTGGGTATCGCCTATGCAGGCAAATCCAGCACTCTGTATTTGTCCTGAGAGTACTTTTATAATGTTCTCAAGGGTTACCACATGCCATACGCTAGGATAGGTTGTAATGCTTGTTTTGTGGGGTAGTCCTTGCTGCAGCCTTGAGGAATGCAGTGTTTGTGAGCATTTCTGTTGAAGGCTAGTGGTCCTACAGCAAGGACCGGCATCTTCAGTGTCCAAGTGGCACACAGCC